CCTGTTGAAAACGGCACTGCAGCTTTGTCGTCTTGTCATGGTGTACCTATTTAAAGTCGAGCCGTTGGTCTCACACAGTCCAACAAAGAATTTTTAGACTCTGTATAAACGTAGTTATGGCATGAACTAGGATATTTGCGATCGGATAATTTTTACTATTTTTTCGATCAGCTTAAAGTTGACATATCGAAAAATAGGCTAAAACTCTTATAGTTTTGATTTTTTTTCGGGATGAAGGAGGTGACCGATCCCAGATATCCTAGTTCATGCCATACCTACAAGTTTTAGAAACATCCACAAAAAATCGGAACCTCAACGGCCCAACGGTGTGGCTGGAATCCGGTACACCATGAAAAGACGACAACGCTGCAGTGCCGTTTTCAACAGGGGATATCTCAACTTTGGGTAGGCGTATCGACGTCATACACATTGCGTTTTAAAGCCAAAAGTATGCGCTACAAAACGGTATACTCGGTTTTGTTCTAAAAGCTATGGGTTCTCTAAAATTAATTACGCAAATCACCCCTATTTTAGGCTCGCTACACTAGGATGCCCCCTTAAATCCAATTTTAGAGCTAGTATGCTCTTTTTTGAACCTTATCTGTCTTTTTATGATACTAAACGACCCTGAAAATCCCAGGTCGCTAGCTTAATAGGCCATTCCACCGAATGGGTAAGAAGAATGAAAGAAATCAAAAAGTTCCGGAGACAGTACCGAAAACCAGTATGGAGATCATTTGGCATTTGGCACTCCTCTGTGGCACACCAACTAGTCCAGAATAATTATCTTGGTCAAGAAAACTAGAAATAGTGAACGATTTGATCCGTTTATCAATACTGTTTCCGGTGCTTTTTGATCCTTTTCTTTCTTCTTCCCCATTCGGTGGAATGGTCTATTCGTTATCGAGATGAGAGACAAACAGACACACACACACACAGACAGACAGACGCGAAACTTTTTGATCATCACTGGAGTAATAGGCTGCGCTAATCGATGACAAACTGATGCCAAACGCAAATCGGCGTCCCGTCATCAATATGTCATTAGTATGTCACCAGTTTATCAACCGTTTGTCTTCGACGGAATACAAACGGATGACAACCCGCTCACATACTGGCCGCTTTCGACGCTGGTGAATGCTGCGACCGAAAATGCTGGACACGAAATGTCCTAGTCTACAAGAGCCTATACATATACAATGTTGAAGGTGTGCTGTGGACTGATCATTAGGGCCTGGAAGGTTGCTGCATGTGTCCCCCGCGTAAACTTTCCGATCTGAGCACGATGGTGGTGTTAAATTTCCTCTAGCTATAGCCATTCAAAAATTACTTTTCGGATTTTTTTTTTGGTTCAAAATACAACAGAGTATGTTATCCTAACACATCTCACTAACCCGTTTCGCTCTACGGCGCTTAGTTTAGGCTTGAAAGGGAATTGCGGTGTTTCGTACGGTGAGGCTGGGGCCAGTATGTCAGCGATTTGTCCTCCGTTTGTAATCCGTCGACGACAAA